CTGGTGTATCTACCACACCTCCCAGTTTGGTGTCATCAGCAAACTTGCTGAGGGTACATTCTAACTCTTCATCCAGGTCGTTGATGAAGAAGTTAAACAAGACTGGGCCCAGTACTGACCCCTGGGGGACACCACTTGTTACCAGCCTCCAACTAGACTCAGCGCCGCTGATGACAACCCTCTGAGTTCTGCCATTCAGCCAGTTCTCTATCCACTTCACCAACCACTCACCCAGCCCACACTTCCTCACTTCCCTAATGTCAGTGATGATGTAGTTGTTGTAGGTAAGAACTCCTAGAAACTGTGGCTTAACCACCTTCTGTGTTCCTGGATGCAGACAGTATACTGTACAAGTGTAAATGTGTGCAGAATATACCTGAATGAAAATTTTTTCCTAGAAGCCCGCAAAATGGTTCCATATTATGGGTTGTAATTACATTCACAAGAATTTGGTCCACAAAAGACCATAACTGTAATATATGTTTATATATTGGATTAATTTTAAAAGAATACTTCTATTGTGCATTAGACTGGAAGTGCTTTCACTTTTGCACTTTACTGCTTTTGCAGTATACTTCTTATTGTGAAAATGTAATTAATGGTATCTGACATTTCATTTTCTAATACAGGGAAAATCAATGAAAAATCCCACGTAACTGAGTTTTCTAGAATGTTGTCACTGACACCTAGTCAATTAGAAATCATTTATTAAATCCAGAGTCTGTAACAGATATTTAATAGACTGCATGGCCATTAAAGTATGCTGATCTAGACAAAATAATACAGCATTGCCTATAGTAAATATATCTGCTATGTTCAAATGCACAAAGGTGAAAAGTAGGTCACTTGATACAGTAAAACTTTCAGACACAGTTTTCTATAAAGCTGTGTTTTTCTACAAACATAGTCGAGTAAATGCATAATGCTTGTAAACAGAACACGAGAAAAATATAACATAATTAGCCTGCTATTGGTCACCTATTTCTAAAATGGAATGCAAAATCAGACAGAACAAGTAACTTGCATTAATGCAGAGCTCAGTAAGTGACAGACTGCTCCCTCTTTGGGGATATAAACAATCTGAGTTGTTAGTTTGATAACTTCAATATAATTCTGTGAATCAGATTAGATATGAGCACAAGTATTAAATACTGATGCAACTACTGAGGTGCCTGTTTTCTTGGGAATTCTCAGCCTAGAGTTTAAAGGAGAAGTAGAACAAATATAAGCACATGAATAAGCTATAGAATTATATTCTACACCTGAGAATTTAAAGTACATTTTCATTAGTGACTTAGACAACATAATGAACTGCGATTATGTATGAAAACTATGAATGATACTAATTAACAGCACAGGGCATACAAATGCTTTAGGGACCAGTATCAGGGTTCCAAATTACTGTAATAATCTTGAGATACGGTCTGAAATCAGCAAGATATAATTCAGTAAGCTGTGTGTCAAATGCTGCACTTTGGAGGCGGAAATCACATTCACAAATACTAGATTGTGAATAGATGAGTAAATACAAATGCAAGGAAAAAAGTCCAGGAGGTGTGAGTGGAAAAAGAAATTAAATGAAAGTCAACATTGAAAGTCAAGGCAAATCACATTCTGACATGTTAATACTAGTGTTATATGTAAGATGCTGAGGGTAATGATTCCACTTGATTCAGTATTGGTGAAATGTCAGCTGTAAAATACTATTGGGTACATCAACACCAGCAAATAACTTGGCTCCTGAACCTGGCCCTCCATCATCCCTGCTCTGTATGATAGTTCATTCCCAGGCTTTCATTTCAGAGTAAACTTCCTAATTCCCTTTGAGATAAAACTGAGTGCAGTTCTGGGATAGCATTCAGTTCAGGGACCACACTCTACAAGCAGTAAGGAAGAGAGTTCACCAGGTTCTCCATGCCCTGTATAGTCCCCCGACAACTGTCAAACTTCATTCCCTCAGGCATCCCCTTCTCATGGCCTTCCCCAAGGCAGGCAACACTTGCACACCATAAAAACACATGCAGCATCATGCCACAAAAGAACTATCCAGGCAGTGCTTTGCTACAGCCATTGCATTTTTTAAATAGAGTGAAATAAAAGCAAATATAAAAATTGTACCTAAGCGTACCACACAGACCTGAGGAGACTTCGGCCAAGTATGAAAATAACCTGTTTGCCCTGGGATGCAGCGTGGCTGACAGTTTTTCTGCATCTGTGGGCCTGAAAGATTAAGCCTGCTTGCTGGGGCAGATCAAAGAGTGGCTATAGCCTCTGAGGCAGCTTTGGTGTACACAGTTTGAGAAAGATGTAGACATACTTGGGAGACCCTTGAGCAGGACAGTTGCGATAAAAGGTTTAGGAAAGAGTTAGTTAGATCCTTGAATCAGGCAAACTGGATTTCTACCTATAATTCATCTTTTCATGGGATCATTTATGCGAGCACTCATAAACAACATTTTTGGGGGGGAAATCTGCAGAACTGACTGGGCTGATACAGAACATCTCTAGGTGGTCAGGATCTGCATATGGATGGGTAGAGACAGCAATTGTAGAGCTTTTGATTTGTGTGCTCATTCACCACTTCCTCATTCACCAATTTTTGGGATAACAACATAATTTTAATGCCCTTATATCTTTTCTTCTACATCTATAGTAAAATAAGTTTTAACAGATCTCTAAAATTCAGCAGGTAGGTGATAGAATGCAGGAAGATGTAGGAAGTAATCAAAATACTTGTGAGCAGTGTGAAATTTGAGAACCACAGGAATGTCCTGATATAAAGATATTCAGCTGAACATCAGGATGGTTCAGTTAACTAACTTTTCCCTGAATGTTCTCTTTTTTTCCCTGGAGAAGACTCTGCTCTCTTACCTGAAGAATTTGCTAGGGAAGTTTAGCTGTGGAGACAGAATAAAAATCAAGTAATTTTGTTCAGCTGCAATAGCCAGAAACACAGACCATTTTCATTTGCCTCACACTTTCTGCCACTCTCCACCTTGAAAACGCTAGGCTTAGTTTCTGCCAGTGTGGCATCAGTGAGGAATTACAGAGTTATCTATTGCAAAGGAATTTTTTCTTCTTCTTCAAAAGCAGTAAATACTGTCATTCCCACATGACTTATAGAGGGCAGCTCCTAACTTCTGCAAACAAATACATCTTCATATTTTTTACACTCAGATGATTACTGCAGCATTTTCAATTCTATGCACTTCAATTTTCTACTGGAATGCTGAGACCTGAGAAGTGTAATGCCTTTAGCAGGTCCTACGTGCCTTTCAGAGTACAAACCTGCTGGAAATAACAGGACAGATAGGGAGCTGTAATTTTAAGGAGTCGTAAACCTATTCCTAGCTTATTTACTGCCAAAATAATCAGTGCTGATTGAAATCAGCCTTACAGAGCGTATGAATTCAAACGGAAACACCAACAGGTCCCTTTCGATCTTCAGCAAATCTTTTATATTCCAAAACAAATGGCTGCTTCTGGTAACTTTGTAAGGGACTTGTACTTACTATTTTGAGATTTTCTAAACACTTTTTCAACTTTCTGAAAGGAGCATATCAGCACTACAAATCTCTGTTGTGGATATAGAGTGCCTTTTTCAAACATCTCAGTGTGTTTCAATATTTTTTGCCTCATTTTCAGAAATCAGTGAACTTAAGCAGAGGCATCCATGAGATTTTCTGAAAATGTAATCAAAAGTTGACCTGCAAAGGGAATTAGGCACCTAACTGAAAGTTACATACAAAATTGTATGTGTTCAGTTTAATTTTAAAAGAAATAAAGTGAATTTGGGAGTTTAGATCATTTTTTATTACAAAGGTATGTACTTAAAGAGCTTAAAGAAAGCAGCTAGCAAAATGTCCTCCATGGGCTGCAGGTGAATATATGCTCCACCATGGACCTTCATGGGCTGCAGGGGGACAGTCTGCCTCACCATGGCCTTCTCCACAGGCTGCAGGGGAATCTCTGCTCTGGCGCTTGGAGGACCTCCTCCTATCCTGGCCTTGGTGCCTGCACAGTGGTTTCTCTCACAGTGTCTCACTCCTCTCTCCTGCTGCAGTTGCTGTGACACAGGGGTTTTGTCCCCTTCTTAACTATGTTATCCTAGAGGCACTACCACCATTACTGATGAGCTTGGGCTTGGCCTTGGCCAGTGGCGGGTCCATCTTGACTAGCATTGGCTCCATCGGGCATAGGGGAAGCTTCTAGAAGCTTCACACAGAAGCCACCCCTGTAGCTCCCCGGCTACCAAAACCTTGCCACACAAACCTAGTACAGAAGTAGAAATAAAACTTAAGGTGTTTAAAGTATTCTTGCTAACAGGACTGAATTAAGAAGATGCAAAAGTAATCTGGACTGTTACAGACCATGTTAGCTTTGCCTCTATTGTAAGCATGACTTCAACACAAGCTTGGAAAGAAAAGGTAAAAAACAGGTAGGCTTTACAGGAAAGTGGAATAAACAGTGATCTGGATAGGTCTACCAATTGTAAAACATACTGGACAAACTTGATATATGATTCTGAAAATCGGTTTGGTTAACAAGATTTAGTTTCCATATCTCATGTGTCTGGATGCCAATAAGGACTATTGTATGGTACCACACAGGAAATTATTACATAGTGAAACATTTAATTATTAAATAATAGGTATTGAATAATAGAATTAATTATGCTAATATAATTAATTAATTTTCTTAAGATGGTGTTAGTGCAAGAGTCATATACTGATCAAAGAGACAAAGTAATGACGACAATTAATGATGTGGAAATAAAAGTATAAGCTGGGGGAAAGTTGCTATTTAAGTTCTTCCAAAACCAGTCTTGTATGAATCTTATTTATCTTTTCCCTGATGTGATACTGAAAATGATAGTGGGCAAACAGCATCAAGCTGGGGAGAACTGCCAGGATGGAGGAGGATCTGAATAGCAGAGGATGAAGTGGACAACTTAAGAGTTAGAGGGACAGAAGGAAGACGAAATGAAGTAGTGTGAATTATCAGGCTAAGAATGCATGAACTAATTTAAATAATTTCTTCTATACGCTCAGCAGCTTGAAACAAGATGGTGAAGGATCTACTCCCATGTATTAACCAACTAGTGGGATGCAGATACAAAAAAGATAAATATAATATTGAACACAGCAAATGCGAAATTTCCAAAAGAGACAGGGAAACACATTCAAGGATAAAGAGAAAATGGTACATAAAACTTTCACTATATTGAGCCAGGAATCCAGAAGGTTTCTGTTCACCAGTGGAACAGACTTACGAACAACCTTCACAGCAAAGTAGGGGTGTCATTTTAAAATGGAGAATGATACATTTATGAAGAGGAATATATGATATGGTTTTGTGGATTATGCTAATAGAAAACTAAATTTGATCTGAGGATTTAGGAAAATCTACAGTTATGCTAAGTCTACTTAATGGTATGTGATGTTGCCTGATTTTTATCTCTGAGCTGCATTGTTAATGTGTCCTATATCAGAGCTATGATTAGCATTTGACTTGCTATTTTGAAAGTATTTTTAAGTATGAAGTAACTAAATAACAATTTCCAAATACTAACTCTGCCATTAAAAACAAAAAAAAAATTTTGTCATTCTGTAACTAGAAAAACAGCCCCAAAAAGAAGAAGTGATTTGACATTTTAGGATGTGAAGGTTGGAGGTAGCCTCAGCTGCAGTGACCATTAAATGGTGAACTTCAGGATCCTGTGTGGAGGAAGCAGGGCGATAAGTAGGATCAAAAACTTGGACTTCAGGAGAGCTAATTTTGGCCTCTTCAAGGAGCTACTTGAAGGAATCTCATGGATCAGGGCTCTAGAAGGCAGGGGGGTCCAAGAGAGCTGGTCACTGTTTAAACATCACTTCCTCCACGCTCAGGATCAGTGCATCTCCCTGAGCAAGAAATCTAGAAAAGGAGGCAGGAGACCCACATGGATGAGCAAGGAGCTTCTAGCAGAGATCAGGTGGAAGAGAAAGGTCTGTGGAATGTGGAAAGAGGGACAGGCCACAGGAGTACAGGAATGTTGTCAAAGCACTCAGGGATGCAACGAGGAAGGCTAAGGTCCACCTGGAACTGAATCTGGCAACGGATGTCAAGGACAACAGGAAGGGCTTCTTCGAGTACATCAACAGCAAACAGAAGACTAGGGATAATGTGGGGCTGCTGCTGAACAAGATGGGTGTCCTGGTGACGGAGGATGAAGAGAAGGCAGAGTTACTGAATGCCTTCTTTGCTTCAGTCTTCACTGTTAAGACCGGCCCTCAGGAATCGCAGGCCCTGGAGGTAAGAGAGGAAGCCTGCAGAAAGGATGACCTTACCCTGGTCGAGGAGGACTGTGTGAAAGATCACTTAAGCAATCAGGGCGCTCAAAAATCCATGGGCCCTGATGGAATGCACCCACAAGTGCTGAGGGAGCTGGCGGATGTCATTGCTGAGACACTCTCCATCATCTTTGAGGGGTCCTGGAGGACAGGAGAGGTGCCCGAGGGCCCAAGGAAAGCCAATGTCACTCCAGTCTTCAAAACTGGCAAGAAGGAGGATCCAGGGAACTACAGGCCGGTCAGCCTCACCTCCATCCTGGGAAAGATGACCGAGCAACTCATTCTAGAGGCCATCATCAAGCAAGTGGAGGAAAAGAAGGTTATCAGGAGTAGTCTGCATGGATTCACCAAGGGGAAGTCATGCTTGACCAATATGATAGCTTTCTACAATGGCATGACTGTCTGGGTAGATGAGGGGAGAGCAGTGGATGTTGTCTACCTCGACTTCAGCAAGGCTTTCGACACTGTCTCCCATAACATCCTCCTAGGGAAGCTCAGGAAGTGTGGGCTGGATGTGTGGACAGTGAGGTGGATTGAGAACTGGCTGAATGGCAGAGCTCACAGGGTTTTTGTCAGCGGTGCTGAGTCTAGTTGGAGGCCTGTACCTAGAGGTGTCCTCCAGGGGTCAGTACTAGGCCCAGTCTTGTTCAACTTCTTCATCAATGACCTGGATGAAGAGTTAGAGTGTACCTCCAGCAACTTTGCTGATGGCACAAAACTGGGAAGTGTGGCTGATACACCAGAAGGCTGTGCTGCCATTCAGCGAGACCTGGGCAGGCTGGAGAGTTGGGCGCAGAGGATTCTGATGAGGTTCAACAAAGGCAAATGCAGGGTCTTGCACCTGGAGAGGAATAACCCCATGCACCAGCACAGGCTTGGGGCTGACCTGCTGGAGAGCAGCTCTGTGGAGAGGGACCTGGGTTTCCTGGTGGACGACAAGTTGACCATGAGCCAGCAGTGTGCTCTTGTTGCCAAGAAGGCCATTGGTATCCTGGGGTGCATCAAGAAGAGTGTGGCCAGCAGGTCGAGGGAGGACCTTATAAATGCTTATAAATATCTTAAAGGTGGGCATCAGGAGGATGGGGCCAGACTCTATTCAGTGGTGCCCCCAGCCACAGGACAAGGGGCAATGGGCACAAACTGAAGCATAGGAAGTTCCAGCTGAACATGAGGAAGAACTTCTTCACTCTGAGGGTGACGGAGCACTGGAACTAGTTGCCAAGGGAGGTTGTGGAGTCTCCTTCTCTGGAGATACTGAAGACCCACCTGGACAAGGTCGTGTGAAGCCTGCTCTAGGTGACCCTCCTTCGGCAGGGGGGTTGGACTAGATGACCCACAGAGGTCCCTTCCAACCCCTAACATTCTGTGATTCTGTGACTGAAGGACAACTTTTGAACACAAAGGGCATCAGAACTGTCAGAGTTGCAAAACTGTTTTAAAGGTTGAAACAGTTTCTGGGATAACAGTGGAAATGAATGTGGCTTTATTACTGTTAGGATTATGCTCCATGCAGTTTAAAAAAATTCTAAGAGAGTCATGGGTAATACTGCAAGGATAGATACTTATAGAGGGTCACAGAATCAGGCAGTCATAGAATGGTAAGGATTGGAAGGGACCTTGAAGATCATCTAGTTCCAACCCCCCTGCCATGAGCAGGGACATCTTCCACTAGACCAGGTTGCTCAGAGCTCCATCCAACCTGGCCTTGAATACTTCCAGGGAGGGGGCAGCCACAGCTTCTCTGGGCAACCTGTTCCAGAGCCTCACCACCCTCACGGTGAAAAATTTCTTCCTAATACCTAATCTAAACCTGCCCTCTTTTAGTTTACAGCCATTCCCCCTTGTCCTATCACTACCGACTCTTGTGAGAAGTCCCTCCCCATCATTCATGTAGGCCCTCTTCAGGTACTGGAAGGCTGCTATAAGGTCACCCCAGAGCCTTCTCTTCAACAGCCCCACCTCTCTTAACCTGTCGTCGTAGGAGAGGTACTCCAGCCCTCTGATCATCTTTGTGGCCTTCCTCTGGACCCGCTCCAACACATCCATGTCCTTCTTATGTTGGGGGGCCCCAGAATCTCAGAATATTTCCAGCTGCTCAGTACGTATGGTGACTGGTGTGACTGCTGTATATCTAGACTCCCTACTAAGGCTTCAGTGAAATTATATTTCACTATGATTTCTAAGTTGGACAGAAGAACAGTTCCAGAACAATTTTCCAGAAAAAGATAAAAAGTTACATCACTCAATTTTTCCTTATAGTCCTGCTTCTTTGCACAAATTTGAGTTCTTCAGAGAATCTGATTGCGACATTATTGTCTTCCTTACATTTAATGCAAGTTCCTTCAATTTGTTCACCATTTCATACTACTTTCTCTCTCCTCCTCTCAGGTAATCATTTCTTTTACCTCTTTTCTGATGAGTGAGGTATTATCAATTAATCTGGAGAGTTATTCCTCCATTTATCTCCTACCATTCTCATTTTTCCAATTGCGATTTTTAGAGTACAATGCATGTTCCAGCACTGCATTTAATAGCCTGTAGGATGTTGTATTTCTTTGTCTGACACCTCTTTTCAGATGAAACCTTCTTGACGTAATTTATCATCTTTGTACGTTTTGACGTAAAACTTTTTTCTATAGAACACGACAGAATTTAACTTATATGCCATGTCTTTCATATATGAGTTAGCTAAAAGCACTTCACAATAATGATATTGATCATGCAGGAATTGTGTAGGAAAATATAGCATTTGTTATGAGCACAGGAATAGTTATCACACAACTCATTCATGCTTGTTAGAACCTTTTTTTTATTAAGTGCCTTTTTCGTAAAATACAGACTAATCATATCAGATAGCA